ACAGAAATCCTCTTCTTGCAGCCTCCTTGGAGCTGGAATCACAGGCATGTGTCACCATGCCTGGCTCCATTGTTTTGGACGAAAAGTTGGCTGTTGACCAGTGAGTGTTGGGGTCACATCCTGATGATCTTAACTATACTTCAGAAACCCATGTAATTCACTAACCTGCTGAGCATTGTAGCTTAGCAACACAGTGCACTGTGGCCTATCAGTTTACTCTTAGGACCCTGAACTGACTGGTGACTGTGGTTCACTGTGCTGCCTGATACTACCAGAGTATCATGGTGTATATCCCTATCCTGGGATAGGATCAAAATGTAGAGTTTAAGGTAGGTTTCTACTGAACGTGTATTACGTTTGAACCATTGTAAAGTTCGAAAAGTCAGGAGTTACCTGTACATTGTTCCTTCCCTAAAAATAATGTGTCTTTTTTCTTGGGGCACTTTAGAGATTTTCTCTTTTAATATTTTTGTTACGGTCCTTACATGTGGTTTATTTTATATTGTTGTATTTTGTTGAGCTTTAGGCCTGTTGGTTGATTGATGTTCTTCTTCTTCCTAACTAGAAGATTCAGGTCACTTCTTCACCTGTTTTTTCTGCTTTATTCTCTTCTCTTTTCAAACTACAGTGATGTGTGCGTTAGATTGATTTTATTGAAACATGTCATCAAGAGTCTTGTTTTCCTTTTTGTTCTTCATATTGGTGATTTCTGTCGATCTGTTTTTAAGTTCAGTGAGTCTTCTGCCATCTCTCATCTGTTGTTTGGCACACATAGTGAGTTTTTAAGTTGTGGAATTTATGTTGGTTCCATTGCTTTCTTGAGATTTCTCATCTGTTTATGACCATGTTTTCCTTTAAATCCTTTTTCTCTGTCAGGGATGAAAGCAGAATTCACCCTCCTTGTAGAAGGATATATATATTTAACTTTTGTTGACTACCAAGGTTGTCAGCAGTGTTCTCTCAGTTCTCCAAGGTTCTCTCAGTGTTCATCTGGCAACTATTTATCACATGCACCATGTATCGAGAACTTTGTTAGATGTAATGATGAACAGGACAGATGAAATCTTTGTCATTGGAAAGATAATAGTCTTCTACCTAAAATGTTGTCCTTAGTAGTAGGTACACACAGCTTGATCCAATTTCTCGCTTTCCCTTGACTGAAAGACTTCTGCCTTTGTAAAGGATAGACGTTGAGTTTGCAGGCTATGAATTTTTAGTTAAATTTTTCAGTCAGCTTAAGTCCAGTGTTTCACTGCAGCCCCTAAATGTACTGTTTAATATAAAATACTCATTTTGTGTTGCCTGACCATTATCCTCTTACTTAAAAGGTGTCTTTCATGTTGTATTTATATAAAATAAAATAAACATGGTATTTATAGTTTATCTAAAATTAGCCTTCACAAGAAGATATTTCCAAAGAGTAATCTACAACCTGTGTGATAAACAATTCACTTTATGGTCATTATAAAATCCAGAGATATTTTATGTTGGAATCATTTGATTCTTTGTGTCATTTACTCTCCCCCTCTTTTTATTAGTGGTTATTGATTATACAGATCAGTGAGTTTCATTTGGCAGATTTTTATATGCATGTAACATACTTTAATTATTTCTCCCATCAGTTCCCTTCTCCACCCTCTCTCCTGTGTCACATGTTTGTGGGGGATCAGAGTATATAAAGTATTTGAATAATATCTTTTGTTGTTTTTTATTTCATCATCTTTAAAATGAGTTGGAGCGGAGATGATCTCTGGGGTCTGTTCATGATTGTGTTTCTCATTATAAAGCAAACTTTTAGAGATAAATGATTTTTTTTGGTAACAATCATATATTGCTACCATACTTTATTTTTTAAAAATCATCAATTTCTACAGTGTATATAATCTTTTGATTATGTCACATTTTTGGCTGAATGGTTCTCCAAAAATAGTGACAGTTTTGAGGACTTTCTTGTAGTTATTACCCTGGCAGTAGTACTTCCAGGTGATTTCACTTGGCCAGGGTACTTAGCTTCTTTATAAACTTTTATTTTTTTCATCTCTGCAAAAAGATGTGCTGATATTACCTGTCTACCGCAGAGAGTGCTTGTGATGACTGAGATGGTAATGTGGCATTCTTACTGTAGTGTTTGGTCAGTATACAGCAGATACTGAGTGCGGTATTAGTTTTAGGTAATGGGCTACACAGCTTTTTCAAGGAAAATTAGAAATATACTGCTTTGTCTAAAGTAGAATTCTGTTTCCACTCAGGTCTGGCAGGCAGGGCAGCTCTGCTTCCTACTGTTGTCAGGGAACTCAGATTCCTTCCATCCTGTCAGTCACCCACCCAGGCCCTGTTTTCCTCTAGGTAGCCATGCATGCAGTTACAATTCTTGCTCTGGAAGAAACGCTGGTTTTTGCTGACTGGTTTCTGCACCTGCTGTGGAGCAGTGACTTCTACTGCTCTTACTCTAACCTTAGTCTCAGCAAAACTGCATCAACGTGTGTTTGCCCCGAGATGGGGAAAGGAGGACCCAGCAAAGAAAAGTTTTTCTCTGCTTTGTGCGTGATGGAATAAGAACTATGTGTAGTTCTCTGCCGAGTTGTTATTCTGGTATTAAAGACAGTCTTTTTTTGGTACCGGGGATTGAACTCATGATATAGCACTTGGCAGGCAGGCACTTAGGCCACTAAACTAAATCCCCTGCCACAAGACAGTTCTTTTTAAAAACAACTTGCAAACCTTCATTTTGATGGTCAGCTGGAGAGAGAAATCTGGTCCAGCATTGGGAAAACTGACTGAGCTGGACTTAACTGTAGTGTGCTGAGCTCACCATCCTGTGAGATTTTTAGTGGTAATTTCAGCTACGACTGACTTTTGTCCTATTAGCTGATTTGAAAATTTTACTTATGGGTAAGATTGCTGTACTCTGAAATAGGTATATGTTTGAAAAACTGTTAGCCAGCTGTTTAGTTCAGTAGTCACAGCATGCATGTCAGGACGAGAGTTGTTAGTTAAGAAATTCATAGGAGTCTTACCTAGTGTAACTAATGTACAGGAAAATTGATGTTCTGCTTTTAAATTAATAATTATCTCTTTAAAAAAATGAAGAAAGCTGTTAAGAGTATCTTATCACCTTATATTTCATACGTTTATAAGGTGCTAAAGAGGCTCTTATTTTTAAGCACATTTCTTATTCAGAATAAATTTAATCAACAACTTGGCCTTTTTTTCTTCTATAGGTATATTTTATTTTAAGCAATCCCAAACAATTGAAAGTAATTTTTCACTAAGAAGAGGCTAAATGCACTTAAAATAATTTCCTGCTTCACAGATACAATCAAAGTGATCTTTTTTGTAAGCTTCTTTTGTGCATTAAAATCATTTTGTTGGCAGGATTTTTTTCCTGTGTTACCATTTTTAAGGAGTAGTTTCAGTGTTAAGTGAGGCATAGCATTCAAAAAATATAAATTGTGTAGAGTCCTAGAATTGTGTAGAGTCCTAGGATGGAATTTAGAGGTCACCTGACTGAACTGTGTGTGCATGAGTCCTTTCTATATCAGTTTGAAGAATAAGCATGCACTGCTTCTTTAAACATTTCTATAAAAGTGTATGTCTTTGCTCGTTTCATGATTGGATAGCTCCGTTCAGTGTAATTAATATGATCAGGGTCATATCCTGCATGTACCCAGAGCAGTTTTTGCTCCTCAAAATTCTTCACCTTACCAACAGTTTCACTGTTAACTGATTACCTGGGGTTGGAAAATCATCTGGAGTTCATGGGAAGAAATTGAGAGCTCATTGTTTAACTTGGCTCCCAGGGCAGAGATCTCTTTGGATACCAACCTACCCCAAGAGTTACACAGATGTTTAATGAACACAGATTATTGGATATAATTTCTGCCTACACTGGTGCTCTTAAGAACGTGGGCGCTCTGTGTTTGAAGGGTGACTTGGGATTGCAGATCTTTAAATGGGTAGAGATTTGGGGAAACAGACACAAGTTAAGCTTGAAAAGCCAAAGCTCACTTGGAAATGAGCTGTTACCTTAGACTAAAGGGCCATTGGAATGACCATTGAGAATGAGGAGTGTGAAGACAAAACTTATTTCTTGATTATGAGAGGTAGAATATTTGGAGGTGGCAATAGTGATATGTCTGTATCTATATCTATATTTATATCTATATCTGTCCTCTGTATTTGTAATTATGTGAAAAATCTTTGAAATAATTTGTAAAAAATTTGAAATTTAAATAAGAAATTAAAGATGTGGTAGCATGTACCTGGAGTCTCAAGAGGTTGAGGTGGAAGGGTATTTTGGGCTCAGGAATTTGAGACTACTGTGGGCAACACAGAATGAGCTCACCTAAAAAATAAAAAGAGTGAAGTTAGTAAACAAGTTTTCTTATCTGTGATTTTACTTTTTAAAACTATTCTGTAATATATTTTTCTTTTAAATGTTTTAGCTATTTATATTTATGGCCATTAGAAAAGTTAATTGAACAAATTACATAAACACTTGAACATTTTACTATGTGCCAGGCATACTTGCAGGTGCCAAGAATGTATTTTATTAGACATACAGTTTTTTAAATTTTTTGTTAAAATTGAATAGATGTGGTTTTGGTTAACAAGATCATTCTGCAGAAAAGTATGAAGTTAAAATTTTTGATTTTTATTTCATCAGCCCTGTATCCAGTATTAAACTTTTGGACTGTCTTTTCCAGAAGAAAAATGAGTAATAATTTTAATCATATACTTTTAAAATGATACAGTAGAATGTTATTGTATGCTTAAAATTTTTTCAATTTAAGTGATATATCTTGAAGATTTCATGAACAGTAAGCGTGTTTCTACTAGGAAATGCCCAGAAACTTAAATTAGTAGAACAGAAAAACAGAATAATCCTCTATTCTTATTTTTCTAGACCATCTCCATGATTCTGTATAAAAGTAGGAATCATGAGAAAGATGATCAAAGTTATAACTCTAAATTGCTGTCTGTATGTATTATTTTCTTAGGCATTGCTAGAGACCATGTTTGGTGTGAAAGTGATTATAACAGGCGATGCATTTGTACCTGGAGAAAGGAGTGTCATTATCATGAACCACCGGACGAGAATGGATTGGATGTTTCTGTGGAATTGTCTGATGAGATACAGCTACCTCAGATTGGAAAAAATTTGCCTCAAAGCCAGTCTCAAAAGCGTTCCTGGATTTGGTAGGTTAATTACACCTTATTTTAAATGGATCACTCATTTATATGTAATATATCCATTGTAAAACTATAATTTGGTGAAATAAGTATAAAAACCATTTGCAAGTTTTCCTCACCAGTTTAAGAACAGTCCCAGTGGGCCTGTTTTGACAGATGATTTTATTTTAATCTTAGTTTTCTGAAATGTCTTACTCAAAAGAAGAAATAAACCATTCTCAACTATTCTCAATGGAACGGGAATAGTTTGTAACTTTTTTGTTGGCGGTTGGATTGGGGATGAGCCCTGGGCCTTCACTGTGCTAAATCAGCTGTTTTTGTTTTTTCATTTTGAAACAGAGTCTTGCTAAACTTTGCAGTCTGGGCTTGAATTCACCATCTTGCTACCTCAGTTTCCTTCAGTGCTAGGATTACAGCGTGTGCCACCACACCCAGCTTAGTTCAGTAACTTTTTTTTAAAAGCGAATAAAACAAGCAAAATAAAACAGGGTAAAACCAATCAAAACAAAGCAGTATAAGTGACACAGGAATTCAAAACAGTAGGAAAACAGCAATGGTTACCGTAATGCCTCTTGTCGTCTTCAAAATAGTTGCCCATACCTTCAGACATAGTAAAAATCAAACAGAACAGAACAGAACCAGTAAAATACAAAACAATGCAAAACAAGATAAGAGTAACTTCAAAATGGCTACCATAACATAGCTGCCCATGCCATGGGACATAACAAAACAAAACAAAGCAAAACAGAATAAAATTCAAACCAACAAAACAATGAAAATGATACAGGACCAAAGCAAAATGATAGGGAATTAACAATGGCTACTATCTTCAAAAGGAGATCCTTCATAGATGCTAAACTGCATACTGTTATCTTCTGAATAGATAACAGCTTTTGACCTGCAAGGGCAGTGGAACACTGAACACTAAAAGCATTAAGCTGCATTTTACCTCAGTAGCTATCATCACGGCCTGTGTTTCTCCAGATGAACTCGGTGCTTACAGCAGCGGGAGGGGTGGAGACTGATTCTCCTGTGCCGGAAGGGGCTGTTATCTGGCTGTCCCCCCAGCAGCCCGTGCATGGTGCCGATTCACAGGGAGGGCTTGCTTCTTGCTGACCTCTTATTCTCTCCCTCTGAGGTCTGTGGATGGTGTTGACACTCAGGAAAAGGCTGGTATCTGGCCGTCCCCTTGGTGGCCTGCACGTGGTGTTGAATCTCAGGGAGTGCTTGCTTCTTGGCGACTTGTTCTTTCCCCATTCAGTCTGTGAATGGTGTTGACTCACAGGAAAAGGCTGGCGTCTGGCTGTCCCTCCAGCTGCCCATGTGTGATGCCAATTTGCAGGAAGCGCTTGCTTCTTAGTGATTTCTCTTCCCTGAAGTCTGCAAATCAGTTCAGTAACTTTTTATTGCATGTCATCTTTATGAAATAAGTTAGTAACTGGTCTGTAGATATAAGACATTTGAAATTAACTGGAATATATTCATCTGATTTTAATTGAACTTACTGGTTCCAGATATTATACTAAGTGCTAATATTTTCTGAATTTCCCTAATCTGTAATTCTTTTTTTTTCTCTTTGGTCTTTTATTGTGCTTATATAACATTAAACTCCTATATATGTTTACTTTGAATAATTAGGAACATTTTCATTGTGTATTGTAAAGTAGGGTTATTTCAGTGTTGCATGCCAGAATTCCCCCCCCCCACTTTAAGCATAGGAAAATTTATTGAGGAATAGGAATAGCTCTAGAGAGACAGGAGGGGTCCTTAATGGGTTGCCCAGAAGTTTCTTTTACCACTTAGAACTTAATATGAAATAGGGGGAGGGAACAGACTATAAATTCAAACTATTTACAAAGCATCTATGATGCTCCCTGACAGCCCTCTGACTATATGATATTTCTGTGATATCCCTATGTAACACTTCTTGTTTGAACTTTTGGTCTCTGAACTGTGTTTCTTGGTGTACTGAAGTGATTTATGATTCATGAGGTCAAAAGTCAGGCAGGATTCTCAGCATAAGCTAGTAAGGGCAATGGTGGTTGATTTATTGTCAGTGAATTTTCCTCTTGCTTACAATTTTTTCTTTGCCACCTTTTTGATATAATTGTCAGAGTAATTTATTTCTTTATAGCAATTGAATTGGCTTTCCTTAAAGTAACAATCTCAGAGATCCAGCAAGGCATTTTATAACTTACCCAAAGAATCCATGTGGTGTCACATCTATCACATGTTGTTGGTGAATACAGTGACTGTCCTCAAAGATTTTAGAAGAATTTTCCAGTTTTGAAAGTCTTGAGATCTTTGACATATTTCTGAAGAAGTCTAATCAAGAAATAAAAAGAAAGGCATGTATTGCCAGCAGCCCCAATGTCTTATTTATAATTTCTAAATCTGTGTGACTCTAGTAATAGGATATTAAGAATTACATCATGCTAATGAATTTGCAAGTGTTTGTGAAATCAAGTCATACAGAAAAAACAACTGACAGAATCTAACAGCAGTGACAACAGACGGAAAAGGAAATAGAAAAGGCCCAGTTGTGTGTCTAATACAGAGATCTAACCCATAATTAACAGCCTTTTCACACAAGGTTGTTGGAGGGCAGTGGCAGCTGTTGGGTTTTCTTCACTTTGAAAAACTATCAAATCAACAAGCAGAAGAAATAAACCACGTGCGCCCTTCTCTTCAGCATGATAGAAGGAAGAACGGTGCCATAACTTCCCAGTTGCCTTAAGTGTAGGAATCCTAGCGGTTTATTCTGCCTGTCATCTTTGCAAGCCTGTGGCTACTAAGAGTGGGGAAAAAGACTAAAGAGAAGAGGAGCAACTCAAAAGAAGCACAAACCTGATACGAAATGCAAAATCAACATTGAAGACAGGGCAAGATAAAATAATTATAGCATAAGATATGGGAAAATGATTCAGAATACTGGGACCAAAAGTGATAGGCTGTGAGGAGAATTGCTCTTGAGGAAGAATCAGATTCAGAAAAAAAGGGCTAGTTCCCCTTAGCAGTAGGGCAGTCAAGCAAAAGAAAACAATTTTAAAAATTAAGGATGCTGCCAAAACAAAAAGGAAACCAAGAAACAACTCCGTTCATTCCTCCTTCAAAACATCAGTCCACAGAAAACTAATGATTATAAAAGATTTTTCTATGCATGAAGCAAACCTCTAAACAGAACCGGAAATAATAAAATACTGTAATACTCTAAACTGAATTAATTGCAAGCAAACATTTGGGAATTTATTAGGATTCTCTAGAGGAACCAAATTAATATGTATGTATAATTACAAAAGGGGATTAGATAGGCTTACGGAATCAGAGGCTGGCCACCTCCACAGTGGCCATCTGCACACTACAGAGGAACCAGAAAGTGTTCAGATGGAGACGCCGGGAGCCTCAGAGCAAGAGGCACCCGTGGAGCAGCCCCATCCTGCGGCTGAATGTCTGAAAGCTGCCTTGAGAGTCACTGGTGAGGGAAGTCCGTGGCACAGGAAGCGGGAGTCTGATGTCCACAGGCAATTGCAGCCGCAAGACCATACCTGCTCGAGAAGACTCGAGCTTGAAAGTGCCAGCTGGCCATCTCCTTCCACTTCTGCTCATCTGGGCTCCTAACCTGTTGGATGGCACTGTCCCCATTCAGAGCTGGTCTCCGTGCTTCAGTTTGCTTAACTTTGTGCTAGTTGGCTCTGGAAACACTCTGATAGTTACACTCCGGGTATGTTTCGCTTAGTTCCTAGGCATCTCTCAGTCCAGGTAAGTAGACAGTCAAGATTGACCATCACAGGGGATATGAAAGAAAACCAAAATTTTGAATGAGATGTGGGAAACCACTTACCCAGGTCACTCTCCTTGACTCTCCTTGAAAAGAGTGACTATCTTCATTTTGGATAAACTTGGCCCTATCTCCATGTATTGCTAAGTCCAGAGCTGGCTAGGTTATTTCTTTGTCTCTTCAATTGGCTTTAAGCAATGCAAATTGGGCTGGCTGAGGAGCTGATGTGTAATCTCTAAAGCAAAGTGATAGGTTAGTCTTACCCCGCCTAGTAACACCCCCCCCCCCCCAATATGTGGTCAAGCGGGATGGAGAGCCATCCTGTGCTCTGTTGGCTGGGACTGAGTCTCAGGAAAGTCTGTGACTTCCCAGGGCGAGTAGGACTGTGCATCAGCACTGAAGCACCGGCCCCAAATTATTAGATAAGTACATCAGGTGTGTTACACACATTGCTGTCTCTGCATTGCTTGCCCTGTGATGATCACAGAGGTGATCCCAGACCTCCTACCTAGCCCAGCTCGCAGTAGTCATGGCAGTCACGTATTTTCTGCCACTCTCATGTCACTCATTTCTGAGCCACTCCCCTCAGGGACAATTAATAAAACCTGTGTTGGGCTCTGGGCAAGGCCTTTGTCCTGGTGAACCATCATCTTGGCTGGACTTAGCAGCCAGGCTCCCCTCAGTGTCTTTCTTCTTGCCCATGGCTTGCACTGGAAGTGGTAGATTAGAATTGCAATCACTTCTCCTTAGGATTACAATTATAAACCTTCCTGGACTAGGATGAAGTCTGGAAAGGGTTCTCTATATGTAATGAAATATACAAAGAATGGATAAGAAAACAAGATGAAATGTAATGGGGATCAATAAAGAGAAAATTCATGTGAAAAAATGGAGAATAAGTTATCAATGACTCGGAAGTAGAGTAAGAAAATACAGGAGATTTCAAGAAAACAATCAAAAAGAAAAAAATTGCCAAGGAACAAGTTACTGAAATGCAAGATGTTATAGGGGATATATATATATTTCAGGTTAAACATGCATAATCTGAAAATCGGAAATTTGAAGTGCTCCAAAATGCAAATTTTTTGAGCACTAACACAATACCGCAGCTGGAAAATCCTGCCCCTGACATGGTATGTGCGTGGCGGGGGGTGGGGGGGGGTCACTGTCAAATGCAGAAAATTATTTAAAATACCGTTTAAAATAGCTTTTAGGCAATGTGTTTAAG